GGGACCTCTGACATGCTGAGATCTCTGAATATCATGCCTTACCTTTCCCAGTCTCACAGTCCAGGGGGAAGACATTGATGTTCATGTGTTTGTTTGTTTGCTTGCTTTGCTTTTTGGTTTTTTGAGATAGCATATTGTTATGTAAGCCAGGCTGGCTTTGAACTCAAGATCTTCTGAGTGCTGGGATTACAGGTGTGTACTACCATGCCAAGTTGTCCACATGTTCTAATGAGGAATGGACTCAATGATTAAGGGGGTGGTTGTCCAAGGTCATGAAGCAGAGTCAGGAAAGGACCCGAGGCTGTGTGACTAAGACAATGGTCCCATTTGTAGGGAAACCCTGTAACTTTAAACCTTCCTGATAGGTACTGGTCACTCTCTAACCAGGGTCAGGGGCCAAGGGCCACAGAAGATCACTCCAAGTGTTCCTTTTCTAGCAGCTAGGAGCATATAAGATCAGGGGAGGGGACGGACAGGTTTATGATACCTCCAGGAATCCAGGTGACATTGGAATTCTTTGGCTAGGCACAGCTTCATGTTAGTGACGGGATCTTGGAGAGCCATGCTCCTGGATTCAGAACCTGGTCCTGCCTGGAACCTGGAAACTTTCTCTTGGTGCTAGTCAAACTCCAGTGACTTTGTCTGCAAGACAGACATAACTTCTGCCTAGGAAGCTACTGGAAGAAGAAAAATGTAAGGGAGGCCATTTGTGAGATATGCCTGGTACACACAGGTACTCAGGTACTCAAAACCTGAGCTTTAAGGTATGAGTGCAAATGAAAGGGAGGCTGAGATGGGGTAGATGCTTACACTGGGAGGGCTGTTGCCAGGGGTAGCTTGGAGGCTTGCCTCATTCCTGCACAGAGACCCTCTGCCAAGTGTGAGGGTCAATTGCCCCTCCTGCTTTGCTATGGACACAGCAAGACCAGGGGCAGGGATGGAGGTGTAATCTGCTTTGTCCATACAGCCCCTGCAGCAGGGCCCACCTTTGCAGGATAAGGCAAGTTCCCCAATGCCTCTCTGCTGTCTTCTCATCCCCATCACCTCCTCTTTACACCAAAGCGAACTTCCCACCAGAAAAGGAAACACAAGCCTGTCTAACTGTCATGCCCACCCAGCTATCTCTGCTCCCCTTGACAGCCTCTGGTTGTAGCCCACCAAGCAATGAAGACAGTTGCTCTCCGCTTGTCCTCACTGAGTCTGGAATCTCTGAGGCAGAGATAGTGGGAGAAAGGACAATCTAAGAGCTATTTTGCCATGTGAGAGCCCTGACTCCTGTCCTCTGCAACCATGGACCTTAGCAAGCCACTTAGCTAATCTGAGCTTTGGTTTCTCATATACATACTGGGAATCACAGTGCCTGCCTTGCAGGATCAGAGATATGTTTTGCTCATATCTAATTCAGTGGTCCATAAACTTTTTTAAGCACATAAATTCTTGTTCAATTTAAATCTCAGGAGAAATTCCAGGATATAAAATAGCTTTTTTGGAAGGGGGGGAGGGTGGATAGGACTCCTCCACCAAATCCTGGAATCTCAGAGAGTCCAATGTGAAATGACAAAACTCCAACTCTGACAGCCAGCTCTGGAGCTAACTGGAAATGCCACAGCAATAAGAGGAGGTGGATAGATTGTTTGACAAATGGGCATCAAATGTGGGTGTCTCTCTAGGGAGGCAGAGGGGGATGTGGTGAATATGCCACACATGAGAATGTCCTTGGGGCCCTAGAAAGGATAAACTGCCTCCAGGAGCCCACTTTTTCACCCTGAGCCCACTACTCTGATCTCTCAAAGGGCAGGGATCAGGAAATGAGACCCCTTGCTGTGGCTGCCTCTTATTAATCAGACTTGGTTCTCTGTTCTTCACGTAGAATGCCTTGCCTCAGCCTGCAATGCCCTTTCCCTAAATCTTACCTATGCATATCTGGCTTGCCCTTTGAGTTCACATTGTCACACAACCAGGAAGCCTTCTGTGATTGTCCCCAGCAGAGAGATGCAATTCCTTCCTCTCTTCCTGTAGCACATAAGGCAGTGGCTAAGAGCTTGGGGCACAGTTTCCCCATCTGTAAGATGGGAATGTGAGGACTAAGTGAGGTGATCCATGTAAAGCCACACAGACCTGGCACACAGTAGGCACTTAGTAAACAGCTGTTCTTTATGATGCTCTGGGCTCTCCTCCACCCGTCCACTTTCAAGTTCTGGCACACAGATGTCCACTGAATGCTAACCTGGGTGACCAGCAGGTGGCCCCACACCCCAATTAACCTGTCTTGATGGCTGCCAGTTCCTCTGAGCTCCAGGAAAACATTCCCTTGAGCCCAGCCACCTTCTTCTGGACAGGGAAAAAGAAGATAGAACTGGCAGGGTGCTGGGATGCATCACCTAGCAGAGGCTGGTGACTGAGGTCTTTGGGCTCAACCATCCCTCTCATCTTCTCTATCACAGCCCTATCCTTTATGAGGGTTTCTCTTATTAACAGGTAAGAAAACTAAGGTGTAACATTCTTTCACAGTCCATCGACTGGTAGCAACATGTCTACAAAGGGTACAGAGCTAATCTTCTTCTATTTAATCAGTATCATATTTTACCAACGTAATCCTAACAAAATGAGAACAGCCAGGCTGGATGTGGTGGTACAGTTCTGTAATCCCAGCTACTCTGGAAGCAGAGGCAGGAAGATCCAGAGTTCAGGGCCAGACTGGGCAAAGATAGGGAGACTCTATCTCAGAAACAAAATACAAACAAAAGGGTTAGAGGCATGGCTCAAGTGGTAGAGTGCTCGCCTACTATGCTGAGGCCCTGGGTTCAATCCCTTGCACAACAAAATACAAAGAGAGCAAGAGAGGGAGAGAGAAATAGCCTTGACCAAGGTAACTTTGGTAAACCAAAGTTCAGGTCTCCTGGCTCTAAATGAACCAGCCAACCTGCTGACTTTGATTCCAAGGGGGTAAGTATGCATTCTTCTCAGTGGAACAAAAGAGAAATTTACCCAGATGGGCTCAGGGCAGCTGTGAGGACCCACTAGAGCTTTGGAGGCTCAGCCTAAGGCAACAAAGTCTGGAGACAGCTACACAGGCTTGCTACCCCCTTCCCCCACCCCACGTCTGCCAGGGAGAGAGAGTTTTAAGCCGACCTTAAACATTGAGACCCCTGCAGAGACTGCAGCAGACTGCATTTTGAGCCTCAATTCTGATGCTGCAGTGAAGGGGCTGAAACAAGGGCGAGGGCGGAGAGGGGCTGGTATAGAATAGCAATGAGCCAGACTGCTGGAAGCCAGCCAGTCTCAGGTTCTGAGGACATAGTCAGGGGCTACATCTCTCTGTGTCTCTCTCTGTCTCTCTCTGTCTCTCTCACTCACACACATGCACACACACATGCACATGTGTATTTAGACCCCTGGTTCAATTCTTTACTGAAAGCTCCCAAGGAAACCACTACAGAGCAAATGCTTGTGTGTCTGGATTAACTGATGTAAACATGTGGCCACTGGGATTCTTAGCTTACCTGATACCATTCGATTGTCAGGAATTTGTTCCCATTTCACAGTTATTCTGAGGCTCAAAAAGGAGTGTGAGTTGGACAGGCGGTACCAGAGGTCAAAGGGCCAGGCCTGGGCTGGACTTATTACTAGACCTCTTGGTCTCTTGGAATTGGCTGAGTAGATAGTGGGACATAAGGAGGCAATCCTTCCACCCTCTCCTCTACCTTACAGCATCCCTCCCTCGCCTAGTGACAGGATGGTGCATGCTCCCCTCCCCCAACAGCCATGTGCCCAGTGTAACCAATAAAAATCCTTCCCTGGGACTGACAAATGGACAGCCCCCTCCAAGACTTCTGCAGCTATTGTCCAGCTGTGGAGAAGGTGGGTGCAGCAGAGGACCAAGGCTAGTCCCAGCATGGATCAGTAGTCAGAACCCTAAAGCAGTCTCTGTCCTTGAGGCCCTGGTCCCAGTTGTTCTGCCTTCAGTCCTATAACTTATCTAGCACCTTACCTGGCCTCTGGAGTGTGCCAATTCTCCCTTTTCACTTAAACTGCCCCGTGACACTATTTCCTCCTAAAGCCATGTCCTTCCTTCATAGACCATATCAAGGCCACATACCTTTTATCTGGCCAGCATTTCACGAGTATGCTAGCAGAGTTGGCCTGAACCACAGGGTTCATGTGGACCTTCACATTCATCTAGCCACCCTCCTTTGAAACCCAGGGGTGGAATGGAGGACCAGAAGGCCCACCTGTTTATGTCCTGGAGAGGAAGCCTTGGGAGTGAAACCCCACATGTGCAGAAGGCCTGATTTTCTGGTCGGAAATTCCCAGAGATAGATTTGGGGCTGCACCGCTTTTTCCTCAGGCAACTTTAGATATTTCTCTCCATCCTGATGACTAAGGCTCTGGAGGTTGGCTAATGAGGCCCAGGTACCCTGCACCCCATTAAGTACTTCACACACACATCATCTGCTCAAATCTCCCAGATGACACCATGAGGTGGGCACTCTCATCTCCAGTACACAGTTAAGGAAATAGAGGTCAGGGAAGCTGATAGACCTGCCCAAGGTCATCCGGTTGGGAAGTAGCTTGCCTGTCCCCTGCCTTCTAACATCTCTGCACCCTCCCCCACGCCCTGAGGAAAGAGGGGTGGAGAAGTGATAAGTGCCTGTGCCAGATGAGCTCTTTAAACTGATAGGTTTCAAAATTGAAGCTGGGGGAGAAATGCCACAGTAACGGCCCCCTTGAGGCTGCCCTCAAGGGCTCCCGAGGGGTGAGGGTACTCTCTTACTGGAGTGGTGAAAAGACAGTCTTCCAGCATCCTGCTCCCTCCTCTCCCCGATATTCTTGCTGCCAAATGAAATCTGGCAGCTTCTGAAAATAGCTCAGCACTGCAGCAGGCACTCTGCCCGCCCTTCAGCAGGCTGGCACGCAGCTGGGGGTGGGCACTGTGGGCAGACGCTGGCACACACAGGGCTGGGGGTGGGTGTCACACACACAGTGCACAGGGGCGGGCACAGAGCTGGGGGCATGTGGCAGCTGCCATCCCTCAGTCCCTCTGACCTTTCCACACTGAGTGAGGCCACAGTGGCTCTGGAATCAGTCTGGTATGTTTACCAGGCCGGAGGTACTCTCTCCAGCCAGAGTTAAATCACTAGTGTGAGTGAGCAGCTGCCCTTTAGTCACTTTTATCCACACACATAGACAAAGAGAAGCCTAAGAATCAGGGTAAAATGTCAAAAAAGGTGTTTATTAATAACTGTATATAAAACAGGCAGCATCATTCTAGCTGACAAGGTCTAGGGTTTCCCAGTCAGTGAGAGAGGCCAGGAACCCATAACTAGGCTGGTGTCAGGCACTTGTCAGGCCTTGTACCTAGGCAGGGTGGGGCTGGGTAAGCCTGGATCAGCCAGGAAGGGCCCTCTCTGCTCCAACTTAGGCTGAAGCCAGGACCAGAGCTTCTGAGCATGGCTCAGCTGCCCTCCACCACCTCAGGTCTGACCTAGAGTACAGAAAGAGACCTCTGGTTAATGAGGAGCCAATCACCCCTCTCACAAAAGTACAGCCCCTACCATCCACAGAGAGGGGCTTTCCTACCTGAGATCTGGTGAGCAAGTGGGGGATAGGGGCTTTTGTCACAGTGACATTTTCCAAAGTGGAAAAGAGTTAAAGGTACCCCCCACCTTCAATTGAGATGAGAAACTACCCTTTGGGGAGGGGGTAGTGAGAGGATGCCTAGGCCCAGGGACTCCTTTGGGGGAGAACTCTGAGTACCATCTGGACTAAGGCTGCAGAAAGGCAGGGCTAGACCACCCAGGGAGGCAGGCAGGCTGAACTCTGCAACCTCAGCAAGACCAAAGAGGGTGAGTCTGAGAAGGGCAGCCAGTATAAGAGAGACCAGTCTCCTCAAGAAGGCAGAGATGGATCCTTGATTGCCCCTCCTCCCTCTCCCCCATCCTTCCTCACTCACTCAGCATTGACAGACAGCAACATTGTCCCTGGTCACCATGGCAACCAATGGTCGAATGTCTTTTTCAAGGCTGGGCCCATCTGCCCACCCTGCAGGGGATTGTCTCCACAGAAGAAGGGAAGCCTAGCCACAACTCTCAGAGACGTAGAAGACTAAGGCTATGCTCCAAGGTGAGACAGAACTGTGTCTCCACTCAGGCCACACTGGCCAAAGGTGCTTCAGCTGCATCAGCAGGTTCCCCAGTTAGCCTCTACCCCTTTTCTAGGGCCTGAGCCTGGACTGGGACTCTGAAGGAGGTTTTGGGTCAGGCTTCTCCATCTGGAAGTTCCAAGCAACAAATTAAAGCAACAAAATAATTCTTTTGATGAAAGAATGACCCTGGGCCCTCCTGGCCAGAGCCTCAGCACACCATGGACTATCACCAGGCTGAGAGGCCTGGCTCCTCAGAGGCCCCAGGAGCTACTGGTTGTTGCAGCCCTGGGAGGCTGAGGAGCTGCCTGCCTGCTTTTTTCTCCGCTTATTGAGGAGCCGGTTGTTAGAGGTCTTCAGGTCCTTGATCTTCACCTGGTCGTAGTCCACCCGCATGGTGGCCAGGGCACTGGTCATCTCTTCCTGAGGACAGATATCAAAAGAGAACAAAGAAGTCAGGAGGTACTGACCTTAAAAACCATTGCTGCCTAGCAGCCCCTTAATAAAGTCAGTGGTGACAGTGACAGTGTGTGCTATCAGTGCCCACTGTGTGCCCAGCACTGGGCCAAGCTGTTAGCATCACATAATCCTCCCTACAGTCCTTTGTGCAGGACATTGAGCTTATTTACTAGGGCCCAGGAAAATACTGACTCCCTGGAACTACAATAAGCGTAAGTGGGAAAAAGAACTGAGCCAATGCCACTTGCTCAGAACCACATGGCCTGCAGAGAATGCCATCTTACTGGGCACACAGGGCACTGAGGCCTAGAGACTGTGGGTCCCCAGGGCTCTGAGCTGCTGTCACATATCGTCAAACCTGACCTCTGCTGAGTCTAAAACAATGCTGACCACACTCACAAATGTTGGTCATAGAGAGGTTATGACAAGGACTGGAGATATAGCTTTGTGGTAGAGTGCTTGCCTAGCATGTGCAAGGCCCTGGGTTTGATTACGAGCAACACAAGAAAAAAAAAGACTTCTCTGAAATGTTAGGGCCAATCCTTGGGCCCCAAACTATCATCAAGCCCTTGTCCCAAAGTCCTCCCTACATTAAGAGAGTGAGCCAAGAGCACCACCGCCCAGTGCTCAGAGTGCCCTAGTTAGACCACTAAGTAGTCACTGACACCCAGTCCTCCAGGTATGGGGAAGGAGACAAACTCCCAGACTCTGGGGAGCTAACACCTTGGAAACTGCAGGAAGACTGAAGCAGAGTCTACCCACCTTGACTTCATCCCAGTGGTCCTTGTCCTCCTGCAGTACTCGGGCTGTGTGGAGTGGGGTCTGTGGCACCACCATCGATTGCTGGAAGAAGTCCCAAGTCCATGGGTTAAAGCCTGGGGATATGTAGAACAGCACTGGCTACCCCCAACCCACTCCCTTCCTCCCAGTCTTAGATGGGGAAACTGAGGCTCAAAGAGGTGAAGGAGCCTGAGTGGAGTGGCAAATAAGGCTGTAGGTAGGTTACTACTGCATATCTATACACAGGGCCCATTCCAGTCCTGTATCTGGGCTTTTGGAGCCCTCCTACCTGGCAGCCCTACTCCAGCCCAACACCCTGCCTGCTGTGGGGGAAGAGGTGCTCACATTGATCCAGGGATGGTTCATGAACTGTGTGATGGTTAGCCTCTCTGTGGGGTCAGTCTTCAGCAGCAGGCGGATCAGCTGCTTGGCTGGAAGACCCAGGAAAGAGGGGAGCAGTGAGATTACAGTTCCCCACCACTTCCCACAGGCCATAAGCCCTGCTGAGCCAGGGCTACATGTGTTCCCACATTTCCAACCCATAGTCAGTAATGGTGAGTTATGCCAGGCATGGTATCCCAGCTACTCCGGAAGTGGAGACTGGGAGGATCACAGTTCAAGGCCAGCCCAGGTAACAAGTTAGCAAGGCCTTATTCCAACAAACAAGCTGATCGTGATGATGTACATCGTAGTCCCAGCTACTCCACAGGTGAAGTAGGAGAACTGTTATCCAAAGCCAACCCTATTCAAAAAAAAAACTAAAGCAAAAAAAGATGTGGCTCAAGTGGTAGAGTGGCTGCCTAGAAAGTAAGGGAGACCCTAAGTTCAAACCTCAGTATTGTCAAAAAAAAAAAAAAAAAAAGGAGGAAGAGAAACAGTGAGCTCACAGTAATTTGTTATAAGCCACTAAGTGTTTAGGATAATTTAAGTAGCAATAGACAAAATGAATGAGGATTAGGAGCTGGAGTAGGTTTTGAAGAGGCAAGTTTTGAGCTCATGTGGCAGAAATAAATACTGAGGCTCAAAAAAGTTAGGTGACTTGCCAAGGGTCACATAGCTGGGATGTGCGGAAGCCAGGATTTGAATGCAGATTAATTTGGGTTATCTCCCAGAATGACCATGGAGGGATTCAGGTAGGGCACAGAAGTTCACTTACCATCCTCAGAGACCTCTGACCACTCAGGATTGGGGAAGCCATACTGGCCCATGCGGATCCTCCTCTTCATCCCTGGGGAGATGGCCTGACCCGTGTTGGAGTAGAAGGGTGGGAAGCCACACAAGCTGGGAGGGGGAGGAGGTCATTTGGCACAAGTGCTGGGGGCAGACCCATTTTCTACCCCAAGCCCTTCTCTGGGGAGATAGGCAGTCAGACACCATGGTAGTAACACTGGCCCTCTGGCTTCCCCGCACAGTCCAGGAACACCATCAGCCCTTGGCATGGAGAAACCCTCAAGCAGCCTGAAGGAATGGTGTCCCATGACCAGAAGGGAAGGGTAACACACAGTCCCTTACTAAGGACATGGGGTTGGGGACCAATGGTACTGAAGGTACATGGAGGTAGGAGGTCAGGACAGGGGACAGGGATGGTACTCACAGGATGTACATGATGACGCCCAGGGACCACATGTCACATGACTTGTCATACTTCTCTGGACCGAGGACCTCAGGGGCTGCCAGGGCAGAGGGCATAGGAGGGCTCTCAGCCCCAAGGGTCTTGGGGCCCAGGCAGGAGCCAGAGACTGGGCAAGGTGAGGAACAGGTGCCCAGGCTGGGAGGTGGGGCAGAGCAGACTAGTGTCTGGCACCTTCTGGGAAGGCAGCATATGTGTGAAGTTGGGGAAAGAGAAACAGCTCCCAGGGGGAAAAAAAAATAAACTGCTTTCAGATATCCCCTCCTTTGGGCCCCTCTGCCAGTCTCAACTTGGTGAGGGAGGGGAGGGGAAGAAGAGTATAGCAATGTTCTGCCATTGAAAAGAGAGCCTCAGCCCACCTGCCCCTTGCCTCCCTAGATCACAAGCAAGGAGGAGGCCAGGGGCAGGCCTCTGTACTCCATTGGCAGCTTGGCTGCCATCCATGGACTACGGTCTTCCATCTATGCAATGAGGTCAGCAGGCCAGAAGATTTCTAAGTTAAAGTACTAAAGAATATGTCCTGGTAAATAGCTGTCATTTCAACTGTTTCTGGGGGCTTCCCATCCTCTCAGTAGCCCTCCCAGAGGCCTCTCCTGATGGAGAAAAGCCTTTGTCACTGCTCCACTTTCAGGTAAAGGGCACTTGCCACAAAGCCTTTCCTGATCCTGGGAGCTTTTCCAGGAGGAATAAATATAAACACACCCCCAGGACCCATCCAGATCCTGACTCAAAGAACCCTCTCAAACAAGGCAGGTGACTAGTATCCTGTGTTCCTCTTATATAGGAGAAAATGCCTGCCCACTTTCTGAATATGAAACCCAGGAAGATAAAAACTAGAGAAAAACAACCGCGGTTGGGCTCCATCCTGAGCTGATGGCAGCCTTTTATCACATATATATTTAGAGCTGCTGTGATGTCATTCAGCTCACAGGCCACAGCCAGAATTTTCCTGGATCTATTTTCAAAAGCAGAAGCTGAAGTTTGGGAGAATATTTTTGCAGCCTCCGGCCCCCGCGTCACCCACCTCCATGCAGACAGTTCTCCCCCTCCCTCCTCACTGGGCTTTAACACTTTGGTTTCCAGATCTGATGGCTGTTCTATACCACAGCAGGGGACAGTGAGGGTAAGGAGGTACAAGCCAGGTCCAAAGGACTCACCCACATAATAGGGAGTGTAGCAGGGGGTCTGCAGGGCATTTTGAGTGGTCTCCTTGGCAAAGCCGAAGTCAGTGAGCTTAAGCACAGCATCTTTTCCCTTAGATGTGTAGAGCAGGTTTTCAGGCTAGGCCAGGAAGAGAAAGCGTTGGAAAGCATTGGAGTTAGATACCAGGGGGAGCCAGAGCCCTAAGTGACCTTTAGTCAGACTTCCCACCTCCATTCCAATGCAGGACAACCCAGGTCCAGTTCATAAAAAGACCATAACGTTGGCCACTGACAACATGGACCAAATATAGGGAAGCCAAGGTGACTGGGAGGTGATACCTTCATTCACAGAGAAGAAAGTGAGACAGGTGCTCAAAGCTATGAATGATCATGTGCCACAGAGCACCTAGGGGCAGGAACTTCTGATTCTGACTTGGTGAGGCTGCCACGAAACACCAGAATGAAAGAGAAGACAGACTGCTCATAAGCCAGTGTTGCAAGCACATGTTCCACCCCCAGCCCAGAAGGAAGCCTACAAAGCCAGCAGGCCAAGCCCACCTGTGATTGCTCAGGGCAGAAGGCCCCCACAGTTTAGTCCCCAGGAGCTGCACAGAGACATCATTCCCAATTGCAAAGCACAGATGGGCCTGACAGATGGGGGCAGTGGGGAGGACTACTTGGAGGAGGCAGCTCTGAAGCCGGCTTTTAATGAATGTGTAGGATCTTGGCCCATGCTGAGGAGCAGAGAACAGCCCGAAGTAGAGCTTAGGTAGCAGGACGGGGTATTGGATGGTGCTCTGGTTTAGGACCAGTGGGAGCAATTTCTCAAGTTCTGTTTGAGATGATCTGACCTTGGGCTGTAAAAACAGAGAATCAGGTTTAGCGTATACAAAGGCATCTGCTCTGCAGAAGGCTTTTTTCCCCTTAGGAAAAAGAGAAGTCAAGGCCAAAGTAAAGCAAGGATTCAGAAGCTGGATCTGTTGTGGCTCCACACATATCCTGAATCAAATGGTAACTACAGGTTGCCAACACTCAGCCAGCAGAAGGACCTGACACAGCAGCCAGCCCATCAGCCCAGGCTTAGGAAGAAATAAACCCAGCGGGTAATGCTCCAGGTTTGGGGCTTAGGCCAAGAAGGGGTAGATTCTGTTCTGAGGGTGGTTCACATATGCACTTTTATGTGTGTACATGCCCATGGGTGTGTGCTTGTAGGGCTGCCTAGAAGAACCAGTCCTTCCAGAAGACGAAATTTAGAGCCCTGTGCTTCCAAAATATCCCTCATTCACTGGGAAGGCAAGCACAGGACTACCAGTGCTCCATCCCCAGTGCCCAGCAAATGGCTTCTTTCTGTTAAAATGCTGGCACTCAAGGGCCTGATCTGTTGAAACTACAGTTGTGACTTTACTGAGAACTCAAAAGCACCAGGAAGACCCTGCCTCTGAGGCCTGGCACATTGCATGGTCACAAAATTTCTTGCTGATCAAGTGAACAAAGAAAGAATCCCAGTGCAGCAACTTCACAGCCTTAGGCAAGCTACTTAATCATACTCTGAGCCTCAGTTTGCTTGCCTGGAAAATATGTGATGGCCCCTCCCTCACAGGTGTGGGTGAGTATTAAAAGAAATGCTTGTCAGTACCCACTGGCTGGAGGTAGGCAGTCAGTTATTCTCAATTATTCTTGGGATTACATAGTGTTTGAAGGAAACAAGGAGATCCATCTGGAAAGAGTAGAATAAGCATGCTGACCCATGGGAGGAAAGGCTGAGAAGAGCAGTCTCAGTCAAGAAACAGGCTGATCAAAGAACCTGGCTTCCATTCAGTGGACACTGGAAAGCATGAGGGGCTATGAAGTGGGCAAGCACCTCATTCCCTGTGCCCCAGGCTGGGGCTCACCTTGACATCTCGGTGGGCAATATTCTGGCCATGCAGGAACTGGATGGCAGTACCGATGTCTCGCATTATCTCTGCAGCCTCTGCAGACACAGGCGGGGGGCAAAGGGGGAGGGTCACTGATGCCAATCAAAAATCAGGTGTCCTGAGGCTCCCATGCTATCATCCCTCTTGGGCATGGTCTAGCAGGCCAGCACAAAATGGTGACAGCAGTCCTCTGACTGAGGACCTCCATCCTATCCTAGACTCCTACTCCAGATATCCCAGATTCCTCCTAGGATGCTCCCAACCCACCTGGGCCTCTTTCCTCAGGCCTATGCTGCCTCTCACCAGCTCCACTGCCAGTCAGCACCAAGAGGTTCTGAGGTCTCCATCCCAGAGCCACAGAGACTCCATCTCCAACAAGATGTCACAGACTCACAGAACCCCTTGTGGAGAGGGGAGGACGGGACAGGATGTTCCACCCTCTCTAGTTCAGATGGGAAGACGATCGCACAGAGAGGAGCACGCCCTTGCCTAGCATCACACAGCAACTGTCTCACCCAGACAGCCCCACTGGTCCAGCTGCCTACATGTACCTCTCTCGGTGAAGGCCTGGTCACCACGCTCCTGAATCCTGCTGAACAACTCACCACCTTCCATGCTGCAAGAGAAGGTGACTGTAAGCAGAGGGAGCTGATCAGGCATCACTCCACCAGATGGGATTCAGATTCCAGGCCCTATGGCAAATCCCCTGGTAAATAGCCAGTCAGCTTCTCTGTGCTGTGGAGAACCTGGTATGTGATGGACTGGTGGGTTGATCTGAACTCTCAGAAGTAAAAGAAGGTGGTTGCCTTAGGTAATTGCCAGGAAGCCCCTGTTTTCCCAGTAGGCCTGGCCCTACCAGGCTATGAGAATATGGGCAATCCTAACCCCATCCAAGCCTCAGCTTCCCCAAATGCAGAATGAGATGTGAATTCTTCTCTTTGTGACCCAGTGTTCTGAGTGCCTACTGTGTGCTGTGTCCTGGGTTCCACCATTCATGTGCACTGCTCTGTGTCCCTGGGTTAGTCCCTTCACTTCTCTGTGACTCAGCTACCTGTTTCGTAAAAGAAGACTAGCACCAATCTCAGAGTCATGAAGATTTAATTATGAGATATATCTGGGGTAATGTGAATAGTTAAGCTTAGGGTGAATGCTACATTAAGATCTTCCTCCACATTTGACATGGGAGTTACAGAGGTTCAGAAAGGTTAGCAAACTGCTTACATTCCCAAAGCTAGTGGGTGGCAAAGCCAGGATCTGAACCCCAAATCTGTAGAGCTAGCTAACCTGTGCAGGGAGAAAGGACATGGAAGGCAAATAGGAGGAACTGAGGACTGGATAGAGCATCCAGGCTCTGAGGAAGCCTGAGGCCAAGCCACAGTGCTGGTGGCAGAGGCCCAGGGTAGAGGAGGCCACTGGCTCCTGGTCCCAGGTCTCATCACCCAGCATCCTGGGACCATGGGAACACAAACCCCGAAGGAAAGGAGAAAGCTGAAGGTATTGTGTGTGTCCTACTCTTTCCCAAATTTCCCTGCCCATCCATGTTCAGGGCTTGGCTGCCTTCTCTGGCAATTCTTTGTAGAGTAGAATCACATCCAGGAAGCCATATGAGAGCTGCTCTTGAGGGAGTGCCCTGGTAGCCAGTTTCACAGCTCCATGGCAGGACCACTCCACCACTACACAGGGACTGTGGTGGCACCCAGAGCTGTTATGTGAAGAAGAAAGAAAGTCCAAGAAAAATGGCAGGGATCTTGGGGACAAAGGGACACCAAAGGGGCTCCAAGGCAGAGCACTGGCATACCATTCCATGACGATGAGGAGGCAGCGCTTGCTGTGATGCATGTTCTCATATACATCCAGGATGCGCACAATGTGGGGACCACCTGAGGCCTGCCAGTGGTGCTCCACTTCCTGCCGGGCCTTGGGGCTGTCATACAGGAGCTGTGGATGGTGGGCACCAAGAATGTCAGGCTCATACCTACTGCCCGTACTTTGTAGATAAGGACATGTAAGCTCAGAGAGGCTTGTGACCTTCCCAAAGTTACACAGCCTATGAGGGGCAGAATGGAGATGTAAATCCAGATTTTCCTGCCTTGTGGTCTAATGAATCTCTAGACTTGAGGGTCAGCCCTGGGTGCAAGGAGCTTAGCCAGTACCTCTAGGTAGCCTTAGAAGATGGTTGGCAGGCTGAAGGGGCTCAGAGGCCAGAGAAGCTCCTCCCTTCTTGGGGGCAGAAAATGAAGTAGAAATTTAGGTTTTGTAATCAGATCACATCAGCTATGGGACCCCAGGCCAGGGGCCACACTACTTTTGAGTCTCATTTTTACAATGGAGAGGACACAATTATCTCATTTCTCAAGCCAGGATTAGGGATTGTACATGTAGAATGCACAGAATAGCACCTGGCACAAACTAGGCCCTTAGTGACTCACTGTGCTCCCCATCCAGCACCTCTCAGTGAAAGTGGAGGTGCTGGAGGAAGGCTGGGGGAAAGGGACCAGACAGGCAAATCTGCCCAAAGCCCCAGAACACCTAGGAGGTCTCTGGAGCCAAGAAGGCTTTCTGAGGAGGGGTTGAGGCCCACGTTCATCAGCCTACCCTCTGGGACCCAGCTCCAAGTGGAAGGAGACAGGCCACACTCCTGAAGAATTGAAGGTAATTAAGCCTTCACATACTCCATGAGTGGGTGCAGGAAGAAAACTGTCACTATCAAGAAAAGTGCTTCCAAAATGAGTTGCTTGGTCATACCCTCCAAGTCTCCAGCTCCTAAGGTAACTTTGTAGTCTCTCTAGGAGCCTCTATATAGGGCCAAGGGGACAATGCGAACTTCCCTGCTAGCGATAGAGCCACTTCAAGCTGACCTAGACTCTACTCTCATTCCATGCCTACAGACCCCAGCAGAGAACCAAAAGTGTAAGCAGGGGGCAGGGTGGACATAGCAGAGGGAGATGACAGCCAGATGGAGTGGGATGTGGGTTTTGGAATGAATTCCTCCAATGAGTTGTTGTGACCTCAGGCAGTATGCACAGCTCCAAGCTGCAGCCCACAATCCTGTAAAATGGAGTAATAACAGAGTCATCCCCACAAGATGCATCACAGCATGGCAGGCATTGGGTAGGCGGGTGTCAGGATCCTCATTCAGGTTAACTCAGCCCAGGGCTGTGGCTGCCAGCTATGAGGCTGATCACCGGAAATGAGCAAAGCCTCTTGAGCAGCCATGCTCAGAGGAGCTGCAGAGGAAGAAGTCAGCATGTAGGGGAAAAGGACTCAGAATGGGGACAGCAGGGACAAGCCATCCCTCAGCAGGCTTGCTCACCCAAGGCCCAGCCACATTTTATGTTCTAATTGATGAGGGGTGAGAACCAGAGCGTGGACTAGCCCTGCTCAGCTCAGTACTCACAGGACTCTAGGCCACACTAGCCTCAGTTTCCTCCTCTGCTGGATGGGGAAAGCCAGACCATTTTATGCAGGGCACTGTGGGGGCAGGCTATAGGGCCAAGCTCTCCAGATAAAGGTAAACTGGGGCAAGGCAACGTCCCAGGGAGAAGGAAGAAATGCAGTAGTTTCTGGAGCCTAGCTGTTCCTTTACCTCTGAAGATGTTCCCCAAATGCAGGCAGTGCAAGAAGTATAAGAAACCTGGGTTGGATAAGCTCTGGGGTCCCTGACCCATTACTCTGACCAGAGTGGGCATGCATGGGGCTGCTGTGGACAGGCTCCTGGCCGAAACACCATGGAGCTTGGCTTCCCAGAGTACCCTTGAGTCCACACCCCACACAGGCTCACACCAGCCTCATGTTCTCCATGCTGCAAGTAAGGTTTAGTCCCCAAGTCACCACAGCAGCCCACCTCTATATGTCCTAAGGAGCTCCAGTCAGGGTATTCCAGTCCGTAGCCACAAGACCCAAGATGCACCATCTTCCTTCCCTGTCCATTTTTTTCCTTTGCCTCCTAACCCTCCCCCTGTCCCCAGCCCCCTGTCCCCTCCTCCCCAGCCTGACCTGTTTCCTGTCAGGCCTCCCAGGCTGAATCCAGAGTCCCCTCCTCACTCTGTTCACCCCTCCCCCACTGTACTCACTCCACCCCAGAATGCGCTCTCTTTTCTCATAAAACTCCAAGCCCATAGCTAGAATGCTTTCAGTGAAGTCCTCAGTCAGCCTCTCCCCCACTGACCCTCTCCACCTATGGATACAATAAACACCCCCTCCAGCTGGCATCCAGGCTTGCCTTTTTTGCCTACCTCATGACCTGCAGGCCCCAAATACCATTTGTTCTGGCCAGAAGGATTTATCTGCTCTACTCAAACAGGCCTCTCTCAAATCTCCAGATCTATGCCTGTGCCGAGCTATGCCATGCTAATTCTGGCCCCATCCCCTTCTCCAGTGGGTCCAGTCCCCCTTTTTAAGGAATATTCTAGGCTCCATCTCTGCCTCTAGAAAGTCCTCCTAGTCCCTCTCCTAACATTTTTGCCTCTTTTCCTGTGGCTTGGTTGGGATCAGCTTGATGGCAGAGGCAGACAGGTGAACCAGAGATTCCTGGCTGGGACCTGGCAGGAAACATTGTGCTCCTGAGTAAGCGAAAGATGGCAGATGGACAGGGACTGGAGGGAGATAGAACACACGAGAGGGAAGGGAGGAGGAGGAGGATGACCATGGAGGAGCCAGGGAACCTCGGAGTTAGACCTGACCTATGCTTTGCTAAGGTGGAGGAGCAGGCGGAGTTGCCCTGAGTTGAAGCTTCTCGATGCCCTCTACTCTGCTCAGCCAAAATTTAGGAACCCATTTCCCACATAGATTAAAGAGTCCTTCTCAAGCACCGAGGCCCTAAGAATAGGCCTAGGCACAGGGAGACTGCTGTCCCCAGAAAACAAAGTAAGTGCTTCCTCTGCCCTCTGCAGGGGAGATCAGAGGGACAAGAGCTGGACTTGAGCTGACTCAGGCTCAAGGAATCCCCTGGGCTATCACTCCTGACCCAAAACATACTCTAAATCTCCCAGAGTCTTAATTTCCTCATATTCCTTTCCCACAGCCAGAGCCTAGTTCTTCTCCAGGACTCCCCTTAACATCACCTCTTCCCAAAAGTCCCCTCTGACCACCCTGACTAAAAAGGACCTTGAAGGTCCCTCACTCTCGCTTCACCTTTTATTTTTCTTTCTCTCTATATATATTCTATTTGTTTATTGAAGTATAATTTACAGATAGTAAAATGCATAGGTCTCACAGGTCTGGTTTCAATGAGCTTTGACAATTGTGCACACCCTAGGACCCACACCCTCATCAAGAAGGAAAACATTCTCAGCTCCCCCAGAAAGCTCCCACATCATCGCCCTTTTTACGGCCTGTGCAGCACTTGCTCACAACCTACAATTAGCTTGTTCCTTTGATAACTCTTTAAACAAACACACAGATACTGTACTTTCAATGTATCTGGCTCTGTTCACAGCATGTTATAAATATCAGGAGGAGAGGACTTCATTATCATTATTTTTAAGTGAGAAAGTGAGGCATGGAGCGAGGAAGTAACGGGTTCCTGATCACATGGCAGTATACCACCACTACCACTTCCACCAAGCTGCCATTATGCTGTGGACCTTCAAGGCAGGGCTATTCTGCTTAGTCACCTCTGGATCCAAATCTTGGGGCACAGGGCTGGACTCAGATAATATTTATAGATTGAATGAACATATCCATAAAGTAGGTGTAAGGGGAAGAAACTCTCACAATGCATCATCAGGACAAGATAAGACCAAATCAAGGAGGCCTCACGCAGGCTCAAAAGATGGGAGACATGACATCCTGACCAAACTTGTTCCCTGCTGCCCCAGGGCAGCCTGTGCCGCATCCACTCTCCCTGGTGAACCAGACTTTACCTCCTCCTGCTGCACATTGACCTCATTCATGCAGGTATATGATTCTTCATAAAAGGTGTCCCCAAACAAAAGCTCCATCTTCCCAAGCATCAGAATGAGCACAGACTCAAGGAACAGGAGGCCCGGGCTCAACCCCTAGTTCAGTATGACCTGGAGCTAGTCCCTTTTCCTCTCTGGGGCCTCTGTTTCCCAATGTGACGCTACAGAGCTTAAGCTAGATGGAGAGGGGGTAATAAAAGAGGCCTCTGGACAGGGGCTTTCTGCAAAGTACCTACTGTAGATAGTCCCATTCCCATAGCACTCTACCCATGGAACAGCCCCAGGGTCTCCATGGACTCCATATCTACAAACTTGAGCCCACTGGGGGCTACTTGGAATGGGCAGTAGTCTCTTGGTGCCCAATCACAGCTGGGAGGTCAGGAAGGAGATTATGACAAACCAACAGACCCCTGCTCTTGCCTCACTCTAGTCCTATGTACTGTGGGTTCCCAGGAGTCCACCAAAGCTGAAGGATTTGTGCTGATGGCACCCGGCAGCTCCACAGCTCCAGCCAGTGCCCAACACACACACACACACACACACACACACACACACACACACACACACACACCCCAAATAGCAATGAGGAAGAACTCTGGCTTTCTCCTGAGGAAGGACATTTCTGGCTATAGTTGAGGGGTGGACCCCCGCAAAAGCTCAGCAAGCTTTGGATTTGAGGTGACATGTCCTTGAACAAATAACACTCCTCTGACCTCAGCCTTTGATTCAGTGGTTTCCACCTTCCCTTTTCCCCTCACTCTCCTTTGCCAAATTCTCTCATCTGCTCCCAGAACTGGCAGCAAGATGTTTGAGACCCCTGTCGACCTCATCAGCCAGTAAGCCTTAGCAGAAATTAGAAGCAGAGAGGCCCATGCCCCACACAGACACTTGCTTGTGCCCCTTTGGCACCACCAGATGGACTGAGAGCCCCAGAAGAGCCAGGGCCCCTTACCTCTTCCAAACTCTGTCCCTTCCCACCCAAGGGCAGAGCTTAGAGAAGGCAGATTAATACTTGAGTTCCAGAACTGGGAAACA